CTCTCTCTTTTCAAGGCTAGAATATTATCCATCTTTGAAACTTATACTTCTTTTTTTTTTTTTTTGTCCAGTCTTAGAGCTTGAACTCAGGTCATAAGCACTGTCCTTGAGCTTCTTTTGCTCAAGACTAGCACTCTACCACTTGAGCCACAGTGCCACTTCTGGCCTTTTCTGTTTATGTGGTAATGAGGAATCAAACCCAGGGTTTCATGCATGCTAGGCAAGCACTTTTACCACTAAGCCACATTCCCAGCCCTGAAAATTATACTTCTTGATGGAATCCTAGGAAATAGTATATTGTGCTTTCAGATTCAACATTGTGTTTCCCCTATATGACAATCTCAGAATCCTTTCCTATGTGTGTATGATGAAAAACAGTTTCCTGTATTCCATTCAAAAAGTTTTCTTACTGTCCTTCTACCTCAGTGAATCTTCAGTCCTCTTCCTAGAGGAAGCTTTTACTTCCCTATCTTCCTGATTAACTGTTACCTTTTCAAGGTACTTTGTGCTACTTCTTCCAGATTATCTTTTCACACCACCTACTCAGGCAAATTTACTCTTTCTCTGAGACTCCACTTCACTCTTTCTATACACGCTATTAAGAGTATACTACACTCATTTGTTACCAGCTCAATTTCCCCCCATAAATTATCATTATTTTTCTGTATCTCTCATAAATACTTTCTATTGCCCTTTTCTGATCATAAATACTCATCAAGTGTTTGCTAAAGAAAGAAGGAAAGCAAGCATTCACTGAAAGCTTTGCACATACTATGCTACTTAATTATAGCTTATTGGGGTAGTTAATATCCCTATTTTACAAGTGAGATATTGATATACAGTAGTATCAATTCTAGACCAGAAAATGGATGCAATAATGACTTTGCTAGTTGACACAGTAGTGTATAGTTTTAATTCCAGAAGCCTGAAGCAGAAGAATCATGAGTTTGAGACCACCCTGGGAGACACTGTCTTAAAACAAAAACAACAACAACAGGGGCTTAGAAGGTGGTTCAGTGGTAGAGTGCTTGCCTTGCATGCATGAGGCCTTAGGTTCGATTCCTTATCACCACATAAACAGAAAAAGCCGTAAGTGGCACTGTGGCTCAAGTGGTAGAGCACTAACCTTAAGCTGAAGAGTTGAGGGACAGCGCCCAGGCCCAGAATTCAGGCCCTTCGACTGACAAAAATAAAAAAAGCAAAAGTAAACACAACAATAAGTTGCTTAAAAGTACATAAATTGTTTGGCATAACACATAAGGACAAATATCTGACATTAGTCCAAAAACCTTAAAAACTCACATCTTGTCAGGTACAGGCTTACACCTGTAACCCTAGGTGCTCAGGAGGCTGAGACCTGAGGATCGCAGTTTGAAGCCAGCCCAAACAGGAAAGTCCATGAGATTCTTATCTCCAATGAATTACTCAGAAAAAGCCAAAAGTGGCACTGTGGCACAAGTGGTAAAGCACTAGCCTTGAGCAAAAAGAAGCTCGGGACAGCACCCAGGCCCAGGACTAGCAAAAAAAAAGAAAAAAAATCACCTTTTAATTTAGTTTTCTTTTGATGACTCCATCTTAAATCCTAAATATAGAAAAATTTAATATAATAACATGTTTGTCATAGCTACTATAAACAAACATTGTTAATTCTAAATGGTAGAGCACTAGCCATGAGCAAGCAAGCTGGACAAGCATGAAATACTGAGTTCAAACTTCAAATGCCAGTACCATCAAAAAAGAGATTTCTTCTGCATTTATAAATTTTTCTAAATGTTTTACAATTGAAAAAAAGAAAAAGAAAAGCTAAGTGCAGGTGGCTTAGCCTGTAATCCTAGCTACTAAACAAGCTGAGGATACAAGAATCATGGTTCCAAGAAAACTGGGCTACAAAATCTGTGAAACTTTATCTCCAATTAATCACCAGAAAGTCAGAAGTAGAACTGTGGACCAAGTGGCAGAGCACCAGTCTTGAATGTAAAACTAAGGAATAGCACAAAGGCCCTGAGTTCAAGCCCAAGTACTAGCACCAAAAAAAAAGAAAAATTTTACTTAAGTCCCAAGAAGTAATGGGAGATTTTTTTTCCTAACAGTGAGATTTCTGGGCATACAAGGATAATTCTATGATGAAGAACCTCCTATTCTAATTTCAAACATTAAGGCAGATAATAACAAATAATGGAGACAACTTCCAAAAAGAACCATTTTCTTAACAGGCTAGCAAGACTAAAGAGTTCTATTCAATGTTACCTTTCCCGATGATAAGAAGGGGCTGTTTGGCATTCCTAATAACAGATGCTGCCATATTTACAGCTGAGGTATCTGCCATGCTAATAGGAGGTGGCAGGCAGCACTCCTTGAACCTGGAATTAAAAGAATTCTGTTAATTAAAAGAGGTAACTCTAAAAGTCCTTATTTTGGAAACTTCAAATACCTATGAAGGTAGAAAGAAAGAGTACAATGAATTCCATATACCTGCCATGCAGATCCAATCACTAGATGTATTTTACTATATTTGCTTTATATATACATACATATGCATTTTCCCACAAATCATTATAAGTCAATTATAGGCATCAAGACATTCATTTTTAAAGCTTCATAATGCACAGGCTGGGAATATGGCTTAGTGTTAGAGTGCTTGAAGTGTTAGCATGCATGAAGCCCTGGATTCAATTCCTCAGTACCACATAAACAGAAAAAGCTGGAACTAGCCTATGGCTCAAGTGGTAGAATGCTAGCCGAGCAAAAGAAGCCCAGACCTTGAATTCAAGCCCCAGGACTGGCACACACACAAAAAAGTGAAGCCCTGAGTTCAAACCTGAGCAATACCAATAAATAAATAAATAAATAACACATAAAATGTTTCTTCCCCATGGGACTTTAAAAAAAAAAAGATATGCAGCCAGGTGTCAGTGGCTCATGCCTGTTATCCTAGCCACTCAAAAGGCTTAGATCTGAGGATTGTGTTTAGAAGCCAGCCAGGGCTTCTAAACTACCCCCAAGAAATCTGGAAGTGGAGCTGTGACTCAAGTGGTAGAACACTAGCCTTGAGCAGAGAAGCTTAGGGATGGCAATCCCTGAATTCAAGGCCCAGAACCTGAACAAAAACAAAACAAACAATAAAAATAACTAAATAAATATATAAATAAGATATGCATGAAAGGGGAACAGGAAAGTACTAAATGTTAAAAGTATTAATCTAGCTAGGCGCTGGTGGCTCATGTCTGTAATCCTAGCTTCTTAGGAGGCTGAGATCTGAAGATCACGGTGTGAAGCCAGCCCAGGAGACTCTTATCTCCAATAAACTACTCAAAAAAAGCTGGAAGTGGCAGTGTGACTCAATAGAGCATCAAAGAGGCTCAGAGAAAAAGCCCAGGCCCTGAGTTCAAGCCCCATGACCAACAACAACAACAAAAAGTTAATCCTTAGAAGAAAAGATTACTTCTTTCTACTTTTCTAGTCCTTTCCAGAATTTGTTAACATGGAGAAAACACAGCTCACTTATAAGATCAAGGAAATATCACCAGTAGACCAGAGTCCACAGCAACTGGAATCCATTAAATGGTACCAGGTTGACGCACTGCCTAAGTAATGAGCCTTTTATCAAGGGTGAAAAAATTACTTCTGTACTTCTAGTTACTCAGTGTTAAGAAATAAAGGGATTGGGGTGGGGGGAGAATGGGAATGTAGTTTAGTGGTAGAGTACTTTCCTAGCATGCATAAAGCCCTGGGTTTGGTTCTTCAGTACCACATAAACAGAAAAAGCCAGACATGGTGTTGTGGCTCAAGTGGTAGTATATTAGCCTTGAGCAAAAGAAGCTCAGGGACAATGCCCAGGCCCTGAGTTCAAGCCCCAGGACTGGCCAAAAAAGAGAAGAAAGAAAGAGAGAGAGAGGGGGGAGGGAGGAGGGAGGGATGGGACAAATCATCAAAATACCTTATTGGAACATTTAAAAATAACATATAGCTAGACAAAGACTTTATATATTGAGTCCTAGGAATTTTTCAACAATCACTCCATCCTTTGGCGTATACTAGGACAATTGTCAACAATCCATTCTACACTAGTAGTGATACATATATGTACTTATTGGGGGAAGAATTTCAAATGTGGAAATCAGGGAGCTTCAAGTATTTGATAAAAAGTCTCTAAATAGTTACTAAATAATATCATTTTAATAAAAAGAATTCAGCTAAGATTCAGTTTAATGTAATTCTAACTCAGGTGGCTGAGATCTGAGGATCATGATTGGGAAGGAAAATCTGTGAGACTCTTGTCTCCAATTAAGCACCAAAAAAAGCTGGAAGTAGAGCTATGGCTCAAATATCAGAACAGTAGCCTTGAACACAAAAGCTCAGAGACAATGCCATGGTCCTGAGTTCAAATCTCAGGACTGGCACACACATAAAAAATTAAAAGATTCTGTTAATTATTAAATCATCAAAGGTTAAAAACAAACATGAATTCATAAACTTATAGACCAGTTCTTTCAAAAAGATAACAGGCATTATAACAATATTAACTTCAGAAAGAATTTCAAATAACTGTTACTTACTTTACAGAAGACACATCCACCTGACGGGTCACAAAATCTGCAGGTATGTCAACATAACAAGCACCTGGACGACCATAGATACTATTTCTCACTGCCTATGTTCATTCCAAACAGAAGAAAATATTTTTATAAATCTCAACTCTTAGAATCATATTCCACTGAAAGATAACTTATAACTGTGAAATTAACACTATTCAATATTCCTAGTCATCCTAGGACAAGAAAACAAAAAATGTCCTTCATTAAGTTTGCACATTTTAAGAGATTTCTTTGTTTGAAAGAGGGGAGGTAGGAAAGTATTCATTGCGAGTTTAAAATTCATAATATGCTGTCTTAATGAACTAAGAGATTACATGAACCAGTTCCCCTTTTTTTGCAAATGTATATGAGAAAACACCCAAGGGTTTATTATAACTTTACATGTGTAGAATTAAAAATATAATTTAAAAATAAAAATATAATTTAAAAAGTAATGAACAAGTTGGGCACTGGAAGCTCACATTTGTAATCCTAGCTACTCAAGGAGGCTGAGATCTGAGGATCAAGGTTCAAAGCCAACCCAGGCATAGAAGTTCACGAAACACTTACCTCCAATTTAACAGCAAAAAGCTGGAAATGGAAGTGTGGCTCAAGTGACAAAACACTGGGCTTTAGTAATAAAGCTAAGGGACAGCCCCTAAGCCCTGAGTTCAAGCCCCAGTTAAACACACACACACACACACACACACACATTTTCTTGATCTACTGAGAGACATCAGGGTTGGTTCCATATCTTAGCTATGGTAAATAGTGCTGGTAGCTTTGGTATGACCTTGTTTGTGATCGTTTGGGTAAATGCCCAAAATTGGGGTTGCTAGATCATAAGGGAGCTCTACGTGGAGTCTTTTGAGGAACTTCCATACTGCTTTCCAGAGTGGATGAACTTTACACTCCCACCAACAATGCAGTAGGGTTCTCTCTAGCATTTGTTATTAGATTTCTTGATTATAGTCATGCTCACTGGGGTGAGGTAGAATCTCGCTGTTGTTTTGATTTGCATTTCTTTTATGGCTAAAGAAGTTGAGCATTTCTTCATGTATCTATTGGCTTATTTCCTCTTCAGAGTAGTCTCTCTTTAAGTCTTTAGCCCACTCATTTATTGGGCAGTTCTTTGAGGATTTGTTGGGGATTTAGTTTTTTGAGTTGTATGGCATGGCTACTGAAGGTCTTCTCCAAGTCAGTGGGCTTTCTATTGATCTTGCTATCCATATCCTTTCCCTTGCAGAAGCTCTGCAGTTTCCCATTTGTCCAACTTTTCTTTGATTTGTTGTATTTCTGGGTCTCTATTAAGAAAATTTCAGCCTGTGCCAAGGAGCCCTAGAGTTTCTCTATTCTTTCTTGTAATGTTTTCAGGGTGTCTGCTTTTACTTCGAGGTCTTTGATCCATTTGGAGTTGATTCTGGTGCAGGGTGATACATACGGATCTAGCTTTAATTTTCTACAAGTGTTTAACCAATTTTGACAGCACCACTTACTGAAAAGGCTATCTTTCTTCCATTCTATTTCTTTAGCTCCCTTGTCAAATCTTAGGTGGCTATAGGTCTGTGGGATCTTTCTGGGTCTTCAGTCTTATTCCATTGGTCCTCCGGACTGTTCTTGTGCCAGTACTAAGCTGTTTTGATTACTATGGCTTTGTAGTATAGTTTGAAATTTGGTATTGATATTCCTCCAGTGCTGTTCTTTCTACTAAGTATTGTTTTTGCTATTTGGGGTCTTTTATTGTTCCATATGAATTTTTGGATTGCTTCTTCTATTTCATTAAAGAATGAGGTTGGGATATTGATAGGTATCGCACTGAATTTGTAGATAGCCTTTGGCAGTACTGCCATTTTCATGATGTTAATCCTCCCAATCCAGGAGCATGGGAGGATTTCACTTGGTTAGTTCTGCTTTAATTTCCTTTCTCAGGTTTTTAAGGTTTTTGTCATAGAGGTCCTTCACCTCTTTTGTTAACTCCTAAGTATTTTATTTTTTGTGGGGCTATTACAAAAGGGGTTGCTTTCCTAATTTCAGCTGCACTCTTCTCATTATTGGCATACAGGAAAGCCACTGATTTCTTTCTGTTTTTTTTTTTTTTTGGTCCAGTCGTGGGGCCTGAACTCTGGGCCTGGGCGCTGTCCCTCAGCTCTTCAGCTCAAGGCTAGCACTCTACCACTTGAGCCACAGCACCACTTCCTGCTTTTTTCTTTTTGCTTATGTGGTGCTGAGGAATCGAACCCAGGGCCTCATGCATGCAAGGCAAGCGCTCTACCACTGAGCCACCTTCCCAGCCCTGTTACTATTTTCTAATACATTTAGAAGCAAGATGGAGAAAATGCAGGTTAAGACTGCTTCTCAAAAGTCTATTCAAGGGCTGGGAAGTTGGCTCAGTGGTAGAACGCTTGCCTTGCATGCCTGAGGCCCTGGGTTCCATTCCTCAGCACCACATAAGCAAAAAGAAAAAAGCAGGAAGTGGTGCTGTGGCTCAAGTGGTAGAGTGCTAGCCTTGAGCTGAAGAGCTGAGGGGCAGCGCCCAGGCCCAGAGTTCAGGCCCCACGACCGGACCCCCCCCCAAAAAAAAGTCTATTCAAATCACAAATTTCTGCCTTAGGCTGTTTCAGAAAGCTAATCAAAAAAAGTCCAATTTTAATTTCTCAAATCAGCAAAACTGAATAAGTTTGGTAACACACAACATTTGCCAAACACAGGAAACCAGGCACTCTCATAAACTACTGATTGGATGAGTACATATAGATAGAGGGAATCTGACAATACTTCTAAAAATTTAAATAAGCTACCCACAGCTACAAATATATGTTTATCTGTTACATCTTGATTGATTAATTAATTAATTAGCCAATCCTGGAGATTTAACTTAGAGCCTGGGCACTATATCTTTTGCCCAAGACTAGAGCTCTACCATTTAAGTTACAGCTCTACTTCTGGCTTTTTGGTCATTTTAGGACATAAAGAGTCTCATGGACTTTCCTGTCCTGGTTGTCTTCAAACCACCATCCTCAGATTTCAGGCTTCTGAGTAGCTAGGATTACAGGCATGAGTCACTGGCACCAAGGTCTCACACTGATTCTTGATTTACCAACAGATTTTGTCTAATGGTTTTAACTCTTTGCTCTTAATCTTTTCTGATATTTATACTATTAAGTGTTAATTCACCTTCAACATCTGTAGCCATTCTGAAAACTGCAATGTTTTTTGTTTGTTTGTTTGTTTTTTGGTCGGTCATGGGGCCTGAACCTCTGGGCCTGAGCACTGTCCCTCAGCTCTTCAGCTCAAGGCTAGTGCTCTACCACTGGAGCCACAGTGCCACTTCCAGCTTTTTCTGCTTATGTGATGCTGAGGAATCGAACCCAGGGCTTCATGCATGTGAGGCAAGCACTCCACCACTGAGCCACCTCCCCAGCCCCCAACCTGCAATTTTTTGCTAGCAATTTCTTTCAAATTTCTTCTACTTCTGACATACTTTTTTCTCCTTTAAAAATAAAAACAGACTTGTTCAGAGTATGATAGTCATTTTCTTTTAAGTAGGATTTTCTCTTAACACTTTATTTCTGAAAAATCTGCGAGATAAGAATTCAAATATATTTTAATTCCTACATTCTTCTTGACTATTTTTTTTGGAGGGGATTCCTCCCTTGGTAGGCAGGTGCTCTATTACTTGAGCCATATCTTTTTGATATGACTATTTTTGAAAAAGGGTCACAAATTTATGCCCAGGTAGGTCTGGACCATGATCTTCCTATTTATACTTGTCACCACAGCTAGTATGACAGATGTGTACCACCATACCCTTTTTCTTCTGAGATGGAATCTTGCAAACTTTTTACCTGGACTGGCCTTGAATTTTTGTCCTCCCAATCTTAGGCTCCTGATGATTTAGGATTTACAGGCATGAGCCACTCCTCTTGGCCTTGCAAGATTCCTTATTTTCAGAGTTCAAAACCTGTTGATTTGGAGTATTTCTTGGAAGTTTCCTAAGCAAGGCCTGAACCTTGATGTTTCTGTTTCAATTTGAATTCAGGACCTCCCACTTATTTTGCTTTCTTGCTCAACTGATGCTCTACCACATGAAACATGCCTCCAGAATGGCTTTTTACTGGTTATTTTGGGGATTTTTGGAGGATTCGCTCTGATTTTTCTGTCAAGACTAACTTTGAACTACAATCTTCCAGATCTCAACTCTTTAGTAGCTAGAATTAAAGATGTGAGCTGCCAGTGCCCAGTTTAAACTCTTTCTTAATATCCAACATCAGTTTATCTTATTCAGGAAAATCACCTTTAAATAATAACCCTCTAACTCAGGTTTTTAATTTTTTATTTTGCAGACAGGAATTTCTACATCTTGTCTATAACTCTTACTACTGTGTAACTATATTGTTAAAATATTAGAATTAGATACCTGAGGAAATTCCTGGAAGGCTCCCATTGCCTCTTGATTTCGTTCACAGGAACCACCAATCACAATCAAGGGCCTAAATAGTAATTTTTAAAAAGAGATAATTACACATGAGGTTATGCAAAACACTCAGTGCCCAATATATAACAACTCCATACATATTACAGACAGAGATAAAGAAATACACAAAGAGAAAATGTCATCCCTCCTAAAAGTCTGTAAATTAAAAAATACTGCTTAGTGTGGTGCTACATACCTATAAACTCAGAACTCAGGAGACTGAAGATTACACATTTGAGATTAGCCCAGGTTACATAATGACTTCTAGAGCAGCTTGGGCTACCCAGCAAAACACTATGTAAAGGAAAACAAAAAAACAAAACCCACAAAACTTACGATGTGACCTAATATGAGAGAATCTTTCCTTGCAGAAAAGTAGAAAATGTATACTTAATGTTTTTTCCTTATTCTTGCCTCGCCCTTTCTGGATGCTAATTGTTAAGACTTTCAGATTCATTGCATGAACGTGGCATAAAATGAATTTTTATATAATATGTTATTCTTGGGATACAGGAAAGAGACATTTGACACTTTTCTAAGTATATTCTATTTGGAACGGCAAGATGAGTGATGTTTTTGCAATAAAACTTTGCTCCTTCAAGGTAAAAAAAAAATCAAGTAGCCAGGTTCTGGTGGCTCTCGCCTATAATCCTAGCTATTTAGGAGGCTGAGAGCTGAAGATCGTAGTTCAAAGCCAGCTTGGGCAGGAAAGTCCATGAGACTCTTACCTCCAATTAACTACCAGAAAACTGGAAGTGGTGCTATAGCTAGTGGTAGAGCACTAGCTTTGGGCAAAAGAGCTCAGGAACAGTGCCCATATCATGAGTTCAAGACCCACAACCAATCCCCCCACCACCACCACAAAAAAAAAAAAATCATGTAGCAAATCTAAAGATCCTTTTAAAAAAAGATTCACAAAAAAATAAAATTAAATTTTTTAAAAAAGAACCTAAAAAAGTGAATAAGGATGAAAAAGACTAAGAAAAAATAAAAGAAACAGAGCTAGGTAGGCACCAGTGCTTATACCTGTAATCCTAGCTACTCAGGAAGCTGAGATCTGAAGACTGAGGTTCAAAGCCAGCCCAGGTAGAAAAGTCCGTGAGACTCAAATCTCAACTACACACACACACATACACACACAAAGCCTGAAATAGAGCTGTGGCTTAAATGATAGAATGGCAGTCTTGAGTGATAAAAGCTAGGGGACAGAACCCAGGCCCTTAGTTCAAGTCCAAGTACTAGTACAAAATTTTAAAAAAGAAGGAAGAAAGAAGAAAGAAGGAGAAAAGAAGAAGGAAGATGGGAGGAAGGAAGAGAGGAAGGAAGGAGGAGGAAGAAGAAAACTCCAATTATAAGAAACACAGTATAGGCTAAGTGCAGTGGCCCAAACCACTGATAGGCAGATGAATCACAGTTGGACACCAGCCCAGATAAAAAGTTAGCAATATCCAATTTTAACTTTAAAAAGCTGGGCATGGTGACATGTCAGCTATTTTGGAAATGCAAGTATGATGGTCAAACAAAAGATGCAAGACTCTCTCAAAAATAACCAAAGCAAGGGCTGGGGAAGAATAGCTCAAGTAGTAGAGCAAGGCATTGAGTTCAAAACCCCAGTACTATAAGAGAAACAATACCAGAGAAAGAAATGTCCTTCTCACTAAAAAGATTAAATATATGTTATGAATTGATTAGAGCACAATCCTCTGCAACCTGATCTTATTGGTAAAATATTGTTAATCATTCAAACCCATGGTTAAGATGTTTACATACTAAGCTGGGATTTTTTTCTAATTTATTTTATTGTTGTTTTAGAGGTGATATACAGCAGGGTTATTTTTACATGTCAGGTAATAAGTACATTTCCTTTCCTAATCTAGGATCTTTAAAATATAATTCTTCACTTAGAATAATATATACATTCATATCCATATATACATATAAACCCTAAAACTTGAACTGTTTGTTTCTAAGTAAAAGAATTCATAGTGTCTCTCTTTATTACATATATTTGAAGCATATAACATGTTACTTTGATATGCTCCTACATAGTGAAATGATTGCTACGGTCAAACAAATTGAAATATGCTTGTAATAAAAGTACTTAAAACCAGCAAATTCTTAGAATATGGTACAATTTAACTACTGTATTCATACAGTTATCTAGGCTTACACATCCTCCATAACTTTATATCCTTGGGCCTCCATCTCTCCAATCTTCTTCCCATCCTCCTCCTCTTTTTTGTTAAGTACCTTCTAACTCTCTGGTTCTACGTACTATAAAGGTTTTTGTTTTTGTTTTTGTCCTAACTGTACAATCCAGATCAGTTCTACATAACAAGACCATGCGGAGACATTTTAGGCAAATATTTTCAATAACAATAATTTGATTACCAACAGTTTATGTTTGCATTTGCCATCCCACCCAAGGCGTGGATAAGACCTGGGCCAGAAACAACAAGGCACACTCCTGGCCTAGAAGCAAAAAAAACAAAAAATTAATTAGAAGCAGATCAAGTTTAACTGAGCAATAAGAGTACACACCTGCAGACTAGGTTCCTGTTACAATGAATGAAATAGAAATCTTCCTAGACTTCAAAGGAAGAACATCTCAACCTTTACTATAATTGGAAAAAAATTCACAATAAGAAAGGTGACATCTGGCTACAATATTTTTTAATGAGAGAAGATTACGCCAGTCTTCTTATAAGAAATAAGATGTTATCTGCACATTGTATTTCACTAACTTCTTCATAGTTTGCTTTTATTATATTTAACACAATTTGGTTGCATACAGAAGCCACTCTGTTTTTTCAGTATTGGTGACTGAAATAAGGGCCTTGTACTTGCTAGGCAAATGCTCAGATCCCCAATTGCAGGGGCAAATTTTTGGCAATTGAGTAAAAAAAAAAAAAAAAAAAAGCCAGGTGCTGGTGATTCATACCTGTAATTCTAGCTACTCAGAGGGCTGAGATTTGAGGATCACGATTCAAAGCCAGCCCAGGCAGAAAAATCTGAAAGGCTCATCTTCAATTAACCAGTAATCTGCTAACTGGAGGTGTGCCTCAATTGGTAGAACATCAGTTATGAGTGAAAAAACTAAAAATGTGAGGCCCTGAACCCTGGGTTCAAGCCCCAGCAACAAAAAAACTTCTCCGCAAAATTGTTAATAGTAACAATAAAATTATAATTTATGAAAAAGAATGCACTGATCCTGGAGCTTGAACTCAAGGCCTAGGTGCTGTCCCTGAGCTTTTGTGCTCAAGGCTAATGCTCTACCACTTGAGCCATGGTTCCACTTCCAGCTTTTAAAATACTTCTTAGCACTTGAATTCCTAATTTTATTTATTGAAACAAAATATTTATTTTCATTTATTATTTATTTGGGCTGGTATTGGATGGGACATGGACTCTTGTTCTCCCACTTTTTTTCTCATAGCTGGTACTCTACCATTTGTGACATGCTCTAGTTCTGTCTTTTTGCTGGTTAACTGGCTATAAGAATCTCATGGATTTCTGTCCAGGCTGGCTTGGAAACATTTAGGATCAGATCTCAGCCTCCTGAGTATTTAGGACCATTGTTATGAGCCACTGGTACCTGACATAAAACTTATTAAAACATAGATGAAAAAGTATGGTACAGACAGTAGTAAGGGTCCAAATCTGCACAAAAAGTACATGTGAATGTAAAAACAGGAAGAAAATATAGCAAATTCCTAATAGTTGTAGGATTTTTTTTTGGGGGGGGGGTTGGTCGTGGGGCTTGAACTCTGGGCTGTCCCTGCGCTCTTCAGCTCAAGGTGAGTGCCCCACCGCTTGAGCCACAGTGTCATTTCAGGTTTTCTAATGATTAATTGGAGATAAGAGTCTCACGGACTTTCCTCCGGGCTGGCTTTGAACCGTAATCCTCAGATCTCAGCCTCCTGAGTAGTTAGGATTACAGGTGTGAGCCATGAGCACCAGCTCAGTTGTAGGATTATAGATAATTTTAGTTTTCTTCCTTATGAATTTCTGTGTTTTCTAAAATGGACATTTTAACCTTTTTATTATTATTATCTTTAAGTAGTTGTACAAAGAAGTTCCTATTCTACAAAACCGTATATGAATAAAAGTATCTGAAAACTTTGTCACCCATCGCTCCTAACCCATCCCTTCTCTCACTTTATTTTTTTGAGATTAGGTGATTACATAAATTTCACATTTCACATTATTGTGGAATAGTGATAGTTAAAGTCACAAACACATTTTAACCTTCACAAGGCAAATTGCCATTATCCTGGTCTATAAAGTTTGTGAATTCTATGAGCTTTGACAATACAAATTATTTCTTCCATGTCAGGTGATGATTACATTTCTTTCCTTTTGCTTAGTATAGGCTGTTCCCTCTTTCCCTCTTATTCCTTCCTTCCCATCACTGTCTTTGGGTTGCTTAGTTCTTTTTCTTTTATGTCCAGTGCAGCTGATGGGCCCCTTTGTTGAATGTTGTTCCATTTCCCATTTAGTCTGTTCCTCCTCCTGGCTTCCCTCCATTGCGTGCATATATCTATCATATATATGGTCAAGAACATGGAGTCATTTAACAATGATATGACAAAATGGATGGCTGTCCTTTGTTTTTTGAGTCCTGTTTACTCTGTCCTATCTTCTTGCATAAAATGGCCATTTTTTTAAAAGATATAACCTTTTAGTAAATAAATGTGAGTAGTTAGGTAATATATACGTATAATGCATGTTAAAAAAAGCTGAACAAATGGAGCAAGTCCCAGAAAGTTTCTTGTATGAGATGGGTTAGGATAGTGAGACATCCAGATAAGACTCATGAGCTGATGACTGAGAGTGAACCGCTTAGTAAAATGACAACAAGTTCCACCCTAAAACACTTTTCTGGTATTTTCCTTCTTCTAATCTGACCCTCAGAGAGCTCCAAATTTATTTTTCTTTTAATAACATCTTCCACAATCTTTTTAAATCAACTTATCAGGTGAATGATATAGTAGTCCTACTCCAAAATTTCGAACTAGTTGAAATAAAGCAGACTTGAGTTTACCTGCCAGTCAAATATCCAATCGCAGAGGCAGCATAACAAGCCTACAAAGAAATAATTTTGGAAATTTAGCATATTTAGATTGTTTTAGTATGAGGGTAACTTATTAGTAAGAGACTGGAATTCAAATATTAAAGAAGGAACTGAAGCATACTTGATTTTAATAAGAAATGTACACTATTAAGTTTCTTTTTTCTTTTTCTTGTTGGTACTCAGGGCTATTTGCTTGGTTGGCAGGTGCTTTACCACTGAGTCATGTCCTCATCTCTTTTTGCATTTATTTTTTAAAATACTGTCTTGAATGCAGTGCAGACCACCATAGACTGATGTTACTACCACAGCCTAAAAGAAACTATACCTAGGCTTAGCTCTTCTGTGCAACCATTCTTTGTTCATCTCCCTTTTCGTCTGACAAAAGGCCACATTTACAAAGACAACTTCTAAGAAATTCAGGTGCTTAAAATACTTGCTGCAATAAAAATATTTAATGCCAGGCACTGGTAGCTCACACCTGTAATCCTAGCTACTTGAGAGGCTGAAATGTAAAGATTGGGGTTCAAAGCCAGCCTGAACAGGAAAGTCTATGAGATGCTCATCTCCAATCAACCACCAGAAAACTAGAAGTGGCACTGTGGCTCAACGTGGTAAAGGACTAGTCTTGAGCAAAAAGAGCTTTGGGACAGTGCCCTATGACCAACAAAAACAGCAAAAAGAATACTTACATGATAAGAATCACCACTTACTTAATATAGCAGGCTGAGAACATTATTACACAATACAAACATACAAAAACATATAACAGAAAGTATAGTCTTCTGGTATATGTCAAAAGTCAAGAGGTAATTGGTTTCACAATCATTAAAAAAAACATATCTGGGTTGGGTGCTGGTGGCTCACCCTTGTAACACTAGTTACTCAGAAGGCTGAGATCTGAGTTCATGGTTTGAAGGCAGCCTGGGCAGGAAAGGCCATGAGACTCTTATCTACAATTAAGCACCAGAAAACTAGAAGTAGTGCTATTCTTCAGGGTGGTAAAGCATTAGCCTTGAGCAAAAAAGTTCAGACAGTGTTCAGGCCTTGAGTTCAAGTCCCACGACAGACAGACAGACATATATGTATACATGTATATATACATGTGTATATTGGTACGTGTGCATATAAGTACACCCATGCGCCTATATATACATGTTTACACATACATTTGCATGTGTGTATATATGTACATATATGCATGTGTACACATATGCATATGTATGTGCATGTACACTTATGCATATATATGTATGTATATATAGGTATATGTACATGTAAGTATATGTAAATATGTTTCCCTACCAAATTACCTCCACTTTATAAGCAGGATTAGTAGTATGCTGTTAACACAGTAGATTCTGAAGATAAACATTTCTGATTTAGATCCCAGTTCCTCTATATTCTACTGTGTAATTTTAGCAAATTATTCTGCACATTGGCTTTTGTATATAAAATGAATTATGTATAAAATGAGGGACTGGGAAGATGCTCAGTGTTAGAGTGCTTGTCTCACATGCATGGGCCCTGGGTTCAATTCCTTTGTACCACATAAGCAGAAAAAGCTGAAAGTGGTGCTGTGGCGAAAGTGGTAGAGCGCTAGCCTTGAGCTGAAGAGCTGAGGGACAGTGCCCAGGCCCAGAGTCAGGACCCTCAACCGACAAAAATAAAAAATAAAAAAAATAAAATTAATGTAATTCAGAGAACTATGAGGATGATAAAATTGGTTTGTACACGTATGTGTGCCTGCACATAGTAAGTTCTCAATAAGAAACTTTCTTACAGCCGGGTGCTGGTGGCTCACACCTGTAATCCTAGCTACTCAGGAGGCTGAGATCTGAGGATCATGTTTCAAAGCCAGCCTGGGCAGGAAAAGTCCATGAGACTCTGATCTCCAATAAACCACTAGAAAACTGAAAGTGGCACTGTGGCTCAAGAGGTAGAGCACTTGTCTTGAGCTGAAGAGCTGAGGGACAGTGCCCAGGCCCAGAGTTCAAGCCCCACAACCAACAACAACAAAAAAAAGATTTAGGTGGTGATGGATGATTCAAAGGGAACATGCTCAGAAGGATTGAAGATCATGTTTGTGTCAAATAGATATAATTGAGTAAGATTTGATTATTTTCTTCTGATCCTTAATATAATCAAGACATATGTTGGACAGCAGGTAGGCTCTACTTCTTTTGATTGCTACAAACTCAGATTGTCTAAGGATCATACACAGTAGGGATATTCCACAGGCATCTTAAACTCAGATGTTTGAAGTTGAACTCATCAGCTTTCTATTCCAAGGCTCTTCCCTCTCTAAGCTTCAGTCAGTAAAACGTATCCACATAGTCCTAAAGGCCTTAAACCCAGAAATCATCTGCAGAAGATGTTGCTTCTCCTTCTTGGTAATCCCTACTGTTCCTTCAAGGCAGTGGCAGATGTCATCACCTGTAGGAGCTTTCCTTGAAGTCTTAAGCTGAGCAGGGTTTCACAACACCCTAAATATATCTCAATTACAGCATTCATCTTTTATAATATTAGATTATAATAAAATTGTCCGTCTGACTCTATAGCCCCAAGTCCCTCACAGAAGCACTTACTATCTACAACTAGTACCCAACATAGTGGGAGTCTGTCAGTTGTCTGGCTCTTACTCTTGGTTTACACTTCACAATACCATGAACATAATTTTTCTAAAGCCAAATCCAAATTGTGTTTTCTATCTGTTTAGAAAACCCTTTATATTGTAGAAAAGTTCGGATCCTTTTCCAGTTAAAGAAGTACTCTATGACCTCCTTTTGGACTTTAAACAATCTGATACAACATGAACCCATATTACTCCTACGGGCAATCTTGTCTGTTCCATCTAAGAGAATCAATTATGTACCTTATGCTTCTGCTGTTCTTTATGTGCACCGCTATTGTAGACAGTTATTACATGAGGCAAGTGAAGAACTGACCCTCATCCTGTTTTCCCAGGTGCATACAGGCAACTCCCCAAAGATAAGTGAAGACTGCCTGACTCCAGCAGGGCATTCCATCCAGGGCCCAAGAGAAAAGCCTGACACCCCCACCTCCCTTAACCTAGTGGCTCAAATGGAAGAGTGCTAGCCTTGAGCTGAAGAGCTGAGGGACAGCATCCAGGGTTAGAGTTCAGGCGCCACTACTGACAGAAGAAAAAAAAAATATATATATATATATATATATATAATAAATGTCTGCTGTATAAAGAAAAGCAGCAGATATACCACCTCCAGAACAGCAACAAACTGTAGGGTTCATTAATAGTTCAATTATTTTTATTTTCCCATAGCAAAACTAAGAATTGTAAAATGCAGGGCTATCAGTGTAGCTCAGCAGTAAAGCATTTGCCTACTATGCACGAAGCCCATCCCTGTAAACTACCCCCCCATAAAAAAGAACAAAACAAAAAGAAGAAAGTAAAATGCATATAAAACTAGACATCTCAGACTTTGTAGATAGGGACTGTCAATTAATAAATAATGTACTAATCATCTACAACATGTAAAAGCACTTCGGGAATGTGCTAAGAAATGAGCCACAAAAAAATAAAAGAGAGGGCTGGGAAGGTGGCTCAGTGGTAGAGCGCTTGCCTTGTATGCATGAGGCCCTGGGTTCGATTCCTCAGCACCACATAAGCAAAAAGAAAAAAGCCAGAAGTGGCACTGTGGTTCAAGTGGTAGAATGCTAGCCTTGAGCTGAAGAGCTGAGGGACAGTGTCCAAGCCCAGAGTTCAGGCCCTATGACCGGACCCAAAAAAAAACCAAAAAAATAAACAACAAAAAAATAAGAGAGAGAGAGAGAGAGAGAGAGAGAGGAGGGGGGGAGAAGGAAGGGAGGAAGGAAGGAAGGAAGGAAAAGAAATGAGCCACAATTTGTTCTTTAGGTGCTCATGTCTGTTGGCAGAGGAAGGGCCTCACTGAAGAAGGTGAAGGCAGTTAGAGCAAAAGATAGCAGGAACCTGAGTAAGAGGACAATGATGAAAATGGAAAGCAGGAATAGATAGTCTCCACTGGACTGTCACCAAAGGAGAGTCTTGATCCTTTTTTGCTGGCATTCCTGAGAGAAAAGTGGGGCTGGGTTGGCAGAGAGCGTACTGAAAACCGGCTGTCAAAAATGTCATCATTCCTTTTCCCTGTCTCCATATAAGCCTCTAAGAAAAGTGAAAACATTCTGTGTTGAGAAAAGGACTACCCCGGGATTTGAGACGTCAGAGTTTCAATCATGCTTTAAAGGATTGCTTCCACTTTGCCCCCATATCTATTGCATAACAGGAAGATTGGCCTTTATCCATTCCTCCCACGGGTGCTCTTTGAGCCCTGGCCAGGTACAGGCATCATCACACCAGGCACTGGTAATACAAATATGTTGTGGGGAAAAACACACACACACACAACATCTCTGCCCACCTGGAATACAAACTTGGCTCAAATTATCCCATTTCTGACTCAAACGTGGCAGTGCACAATTCAGCACAGGACTTGGACCCAGGCTACCTGGGCTGGATCAACCTCAGGCAAGTTGCACAAGACTGGCAACAGTGACTGCCAGGTGCAATGCACCTAGAATAGTGGCCAAAGCTGAGTGTTTGCAATGAAAAAGCTGCCACAGTTAGGCGCCATACCCATGAATGCCCTGAGGCTGCTTACCCAGGTCCACACTCACCGCTTGCTCATTCCGCATCCCGATGTACCTGATGCCCAATTCCTGGGCCGCAAGGGCGATCTCGGTCACTGGGATGCCTACGATGCCAAACATGTACTTCACATCCTAGGAGCCAGAGAACAGGGGAGTAAACGCCCGGCCCCTCACCAACGGGACGCAGCCTTCCCACCATCCCCACCGCCGTCCCGCGCTCCGCCCCGCCCCCTCCGTTTCCAAGACAACGCCGGGGTCCCCGCCGGCCTTCGTCCGGCCTTCCGCCGCCGAGGGGCCCCGCGTACTTGCGCTAGCAGCGCCCGGGCGATGACAGTAGCACCGGACACCTCTTGCTCTCTCGGCTCGGCGAAGTTATCTCGCGGCATTTTCGACCAACAACTCGAAGGGCCCTCCCGAAGGCGAACGCTACGCCGCCCAGCGCGCGCGCGCACTCACACACACGCTCCCCCGGCAAAGTAAACTTGCCGAAGGGACGGCGCGGACCGACGGAAGCGTTAAAGTACGCGGAGGAAGAGGCGGAGCTGAGGGCCGTGGGCTCCGCGTGAGGTGAGAATGCAAACGCGCCTCGTCTCCCGTGGGAGTCGGGCGCACCCCCGTCCCGCCCCCTCCACTCGCAGGTCCGCTGTGGCGGTGGGAGGTGGGACTAGCTGGAGGCTGCGGACTGCGCCAAGCAGGTAAGAAGCCGCACCGGAGAGGCCTTTCGCCATTAGGTCCGAAGTCCAAGAGCATCGTCCACACCGCGAATGGGGTGCAGCGCTTGCGCGTGTGCCCTCGGGGGCCGGGGTAGAGGTGGCGCATGCGCACATCGGGGCTGAGCGCTGGGGACCTGCCCGGAGCTGAGGCGGCGGCGGCGGCGGCGCGGCCCGCGGTAGCGCGCGCCCCGCTGCACCCGAGCTGCTGGGACCGGTGTGAGCTTCATTCGGCTGGAGGTTGATTGTGACAATCGTCTTTGTGCCCTCCGGGTTCACCCCCTTGCGGCTCAGCATTTTAATCATACTGCTGAAGTCGGTGAGCCGAAAGAAGCGCACTTTGACCCTCGTTGCACAAAATAAGTAAATAATGCAAAATCTCCAGTTACATCCCAGATGGAAAGGTTAAGGTTTTGAGGGATTGGTGTATTAAGCAAAAAAGAGCACAGAGACAAGGTCAAGAGTGGGCGCGTGGATATAACGAATGTGAAGCAATTGGAAGGGAACGGATTTGTTTACTTATCTATTTATTTATTTTGTGGGTCGTGGGCCTTGAACTCTGGGCCTGGGCGCTGGCCCCCAGCTCTTCAGCTCAAGGGTAGCGCTGCCACTGAGCCACCTTCCCAGCCCCGTGAAGGGATTTCTAAACCCACAAAAATTTCCATTTATAGCCCTGGGCCCTTCCAAATGGTCTCCATTTTATTTCAATACCTTTTGCTACCTTTGTCCAAGGAAAACAGAATTATTACCTTCCTGTATATGGGGCCATCCAAGAGAGACAGATCTTCCATTCCTTCTTTCCTTTCCCCCGCCTTCCTTCCCTCCCTCCCTCCCTCCCTCCCTTCCTTCCTTCCTTCCTTCCTTCCTTCCTTCCTTCCTTCCTTCCTTGCCCCCTTCTCCCGTTCCCACCTTCTTTCTCCTCTTCTCTCTTTCTCCCTTTTTCTCTTTCTCTATTTTTTGTGTGTTCCAGTTCTGGGGCTTGAACTCAAGGCCTGGATGCTATCATTACTAATTTTTTTTGCACAAGGCTAGCATTTTTATCACTTGAGCCACACCTCCACTTCATTTCTGGCTTTTTTATGGTTTTGGAGATAAGAATATCACAGTCTTTCCAGTTGGAGCTGACTTTGAGCCACTATCCTCAGATCTCAGCCTCCTGCATAGCTAGGATCATAGGCCCTCAGCTGAGAGATTTCTGAGAAGGTATCCATATTGTAACTATGACATTTATTGAGGAAATAAAAATGTCAAAGTTTTTAACATTATGTACACCTATGTAACTACCATTTCAAGTAAAAATGTAGTGAATCTTATACTTCATTTTAAACTGTGTACTGGGAAGTAAACAAGTTCCAGAAGGTTACAGATTATTCTTTATGTGCTTCCAGTAGTTTTTGGCATTGTACTTCATATGTTTAGAAGCAAGACCCCATTCTCCTCCTTCAGGTGGAATTATTATTTATTTAGGTACTTATACTTTCTACCACATTGCATCAGAATCATCCTATACCAGCATCTCAGGACAAGTTAAGATATGCTTTATTTCTTAATCCTGCTCTACTTGATTTTGCCCTGACTTGGGAACCAACTGATGCTTGAGGCATCAGTTAATAGTTAAATGTGTGGTTGCCTAACTATCCCCAAAGTAATGCTGTTGACTAACTTAGACTTATAAATTCAAGGACGAATCCATTTGACACTGTTACTACAAACATATATGGGCAATAGTTCATGAGACTTTGTGTTTTCTTCCCAGTCAAACAAACACTGAAAGAACTACTCAGTAGGAAATGCAGTGGAAACTCAATTGTAAATTGGAACAAATCCTTGCAATTGAGATTGTTTGTGTTTTTATTGTTATTATAAACATGCTGTTCAAAGGGGTTACAGTTACATAAGTCAGATAATGAGTACATTTGTTTTTGGACAATGTTACCCCTTCCCTCACTCTCTCCTAGTCCTGGAATTAGGATTAAGTGGTTCTGCGGAAGCATAAATACTCAACTGACTAGATTCTGCTATTTCAGCAAAGAGAAAAATTATAGAAATTGTTCTTGCTTTCACCTTTACACCTTTCTGTCTGGGATTCAGGATTCAGCATTCAACTCTACATTTGCCTCTGATGATTCATAAGAGTCTTGTTCCCCATCCAGGTCAGGGAGCAACGCCTTTGCAATCCAGCTGTAATGAAAAGATCCCAGGGTGTGCCTCCAAGTGTGAGGTCCTGAGTTCAAAAGTAAAATTAAAGAGCCCAGAATCTGTAATTTATCCAAAGACGTGTGAGTTTTGTAAGCATTCACTTCATTCTTCATGGAATTTTATTTGTTGGCTATTTTACTTAAATATGTTTTATTTACTTTTGGGGAGTGGGTGGGTTGTTCCTTATCCCTCAAGGGAGGAATAAATGTAACTGTTTTGGAAAGAAAAACCTAAAGTACTGTTGACATATTCTCCAAAGGATAGAACCACTCATCAGAATCTGCCTTGTGAGTTGAGAGTATTAGGAGCTGTTTGACAACTTTTTCATATCCAGACAACAGAAAATCTTAGAAGGGTTACAAATAACAGTGCATGGAGAAAATACTCTCAGAGGACAGCAGCAGCTTCTACAGGGTCCAGCTCCTTAGACCCCAGAATTTTAATAGTACGTTTTAATTTCAGTAAACCCACAAAGACACTAAGGGTCCTTGTGATGATTTTAAATCAAAACACTAGCTGAACCTGGGAGGAGAAATATTCTCACAGACATATCTTAGCAAAGGACAAAGTGTTTGGGTATCAGATGAAGAAATTACTTAGGTCTTTTTGTGATACATTTATAGAATGGCCAAAAAGGAAAGCAGATGAAAATAAGAGGAAATTGAGTGCTGGGGCATGCCCTAACTCCAGCATTTGGGAGGCTAAGGCAGGAGGCTAGGGAATTCTAGGTCAGCCTGGGTTGTATAGCAAAACCTTGTCTCAATAAAATAAGACAGAAAATTGTAACAGAAAATTTATATACTACTGTACAGCACCTCCCCCGCCCCCAACTTTTTTCTTCACCCTTGGGCATCTTTGCCTGGCTGGCTCTGTGAGGGAACTTAGCTCCTAGTAAATTCTCAATAAGCATAACCAAGGGCACTATGGGTCAAGATATGGTTCCTGTGACCTTGAGTTCAGCCCTCAAGGTCTTCAAGGAGGGCCCCAGTGGCAGGATCTCAGGCCAGGGCTGGGTTAAAGAGGTGTTACAGGTAGCCTTGATGCCCAAAATATCATAAAGCAGCAGCTTAGAGACCTGGGATTTAGGAACACTGGACTGTGAGGCCCCAGACAGAGGTCTGCCTTGTTCTACCAGTACCTGGCATGATACCTGGACCAGCTACTATGTGTAGGTGAACAAGTAAAGAAAAGCAGCTTGAAAAAGTAAAAGTATTTTGAAAAACAAACAGCAGCAAGAGCAGAACAACAACAACAAAAGGAAATCTACACGCAACACAGTTTTTAAAATTAACACAACTACAAGGCAGGAAATGTGCTGTAGGAAATAGGTCAACATGAGAGGAACAGCAGGTTCTTTGACTGGAACAGGTTAAGTGGATTTGATTTGCTTCTCTTTAAATGTATGTACTGCATGCTACCAAAGCCCTGAGATAGGTTTGAAGCAAAACCAATTATTTTGGAGCCATCAAAGCAGCTGGATACTCCATATTGAAACTCCATATTAAAAACTCCCCGTGCCTGTTACTGATTGACAGACACTGAGAGTGAACTTTCCCCCAGTGCCCTTTAACCTACAGAAAGGTTAGACTTCTTCCCTTCAGCCTGTACAGATGAGTCCTTAGCTTTTGTTTTATATTTAAATCCAAGTGGGACTTGAGACTGGAACAGAGATCGTTATAGGAAAGAGACAGAAGGAATGTTGTTTCCCTGATCCACTGTGGATTTTTTTTCCCCTAAATGAATTTGAGATAGTTTGTCATCAGCAGAGAACATATCTGACAAGGATGTCTATAAAATGCATAGGAAACAGTGACAAATGTGTGTGCTCTGAGGACCTGAGACATACACCTTATTGGGCTAGGACTCCAAACTTGGTAGTGGTCTTTTAAATACCTTGTTGCTTTGTTTTTGCTTTGTATCTGTTCCCTGTCATCAAAATAGAGACTTTGCTCTAGGGAAGATTGAGTGATTTTTGCTGATGTGCTGGGGTGCGACTTCAGGTGAAGACTTTGAGCCCATAAAGTCATTTCTTCATCCTAAGCTTTGAGTTCCTTTTCAAGACTTATTCTGCTTTTCATACATTTAACACTTATGACGCCTTTCAGGCAAGCAGTATATATGTAGCTCCTCATTTAAGAAATACATTATCATACATACAATGAGCCTCCTGTGTTCCTTCCCCACCCCACCTCCAATCCCATAGAAGTAACCAATATTTTAATTCTGATATTTATAATACCTTCATCAGCCTTTTAAAAGAAGGTGCTGGGCATTTCCTGCTGCTGTACCAGATATTTAAGCCTGGTACAGCACTCTACCATTTGAGCCACACCTCTACTTCCAAGCCTAGGTAATTTATAAAAAAAAGTTTATTTGGGCCCACTCTTCTAGAGGATGGAAGTCAAGAGCCTGGTTCTGTCATCTGCTTGGCTTCTGGCGAGGAGGGCCTCATGGCAGAAGAGCAAGCAGTCAGGAAGAAGAGAGAAGGAGCATGCTGGAAAAAGTTAACATACCTGAGAGAAATGACTCAGTCAGTCATAAAGGCTCTGTTCCATGGCCAGACACTTCCCACTAATCCCCAATTTCTAAGGTGGTCACACTGAGGAAATAGGGTGCCATCACAAGAATTATAATAAATATACTCAGACCAAAGAAGACAGATTCTTTTTGTTTTTTTCAGTGTATCAGAAGTGTGCTCTGAAGCTGGGAGCCGGTGTCTCATGTCCATAGTCCTAGCTACTCAGTATGCAGAGACCTAAGGATCACGGTTCAAAGCCAGCCTGAGA